GATAAAGAATTTCATCATCCAAGATACGTCAATTATCTCATCTTCAACACCTCGGAATTGTGATGACCAAGGAGCATTTCATCAAATGCTCACCAATCTACTGCACGTCCATAGCGTTGCTCCAAAAGGATCTTAAAAGTCATAGTCATAAATCCAAGTTAAATTTCCCTCATTTTAATAAAAAAAAAACACTTTAGAAATATTCAAATATTCCATTTTTCGGCATTCCTCAAAAAGTATTTGTCGTGTTTCCGTGCCACATTTCTTTTTTTGCAAAGAGCAATTTTGATAAGGTCTCGTTATATGATTATTTACCGTTTCTACCATCTCATCATTAGTCTTGGAAATACATTTGGTGACCATCTTAGTATATCATTTTTTATAAGATTTCAGCTTACAGTCTGTAAGAAAAAAAAGGTGTTAATTAATTTATAGAGAAAATTTGCTATGAAAAATTACCATCACATTGAAATTCTTCTTTCACGAATAATTCTTTACAATATGAACATTTCATAATCTGATAGAATATTTGTTGAATAAATTTGTACCCAATCTGTTCATGCACTTCTCCCTTACGTTTGCGGAAAGAACCTGCTTGACCAAGACCTACATCAGGGAAATTTTCAAGCATTTTGTTTAATTAATTATTGGGTTTCAAAAGATATGAAGGAGAAATACATTAATAAATCATTTATCTTTTTTAATTAGCACTTAATTTTAATTGATTTGTAGGAGTGAAAATAAACATTTAACTCATTCATTTTTTAATAATATATATAATTGATAAAATTTTACCACAAAATTACATAACAATTTTTGTGCCGGTCACTCACGGATCATATTATTAAATGTGTTCTATTTATTAAATAGGCACTATTTTATTCAACTAAATTACAAATAAAAATCTATTAAGAAAAGATTTATTACCATCTTATAATACGGAATCTAGAAGAAATGATAAAATACCTTCAAATGATTGTTAATATAGAGACACGGTGGAACTAAAATTATCTTGCATGGAAACGTTTAATAAGATCAAAGATCTCATTGATGTTTTGGTATCTACTATGTTGATTGATCCTGATCCTTCAATATGACGTGATGGAAACTAACAGTAAATAAATTCAGTAAATAAATTCAGTAAATTAATCAAAGAATTGCATATAATAATATTGATATAGTACCAGATGATGATTCGGATGATTCGGATGATGATGAATCATTGTTGGAAAGTTCCACAAGAACAAGGGAAGTTGACTTCTTTGTTGAATCCACGATTTAGAACTTGAATTTGCCTCTGATTCATTGCTCATTAAACTCAAGAACAATTAAAGATGTTTATCAAATATAAACTAATGATTAAGATCAAGAAGCTCGATTACAACTAGTTTCATCAAATTCGTTATTGGCAATAATTTTTTAAAATAATGCTATTGATGTTGACGAGGTGTCTAGTTATTTGGTTCATCCCAGTAATTATCCTTTGTTACAGTAGAAAAATTTTAAGAATTGATTTTCAATATTGTCAAAATTAGTAAGGAAGTATTTGGCCATTCCTGCTACCTCCACCCCAGGTGAAAGACTTGAAGCGAAGCTGATGTATTGACCATAAAAGAAAACACAATTGCATCAAATGCATTAGAAATTTTTGTTTTTTGTGAGAAGAATTTGAGAGGTTTTTTCTATTAAAATGTTAAATTGAAAAGTATATTAAAAAAAAATTAATTCAATTAAAAATATTAAATCGAAAGTAAAAAATTAATTTCTTTTTTTGGAGGCACAATACCAACCAGATTTAATTTTTTGTAAATGTCACCAAACGTAAATGTAAACGATTTTTTATCCACATAATTCTTTATCTT